GAAAAATGATTATCCATAGGAGAATTGATAAATTCTACATAAATTCTATACTTAAGATAGTAGTAAAGAATAAGGTTAATTTCTTAGTTCTGACAAATGTTCTCAGATTAATACGTTAACCAGAAGAGACAGAGGTGACTAGATGAACAGCATTCTATACTCTCTTTGCAACTTTTCTCTAAGTAGAAAATCATCTCAAAATATTAAAAAAAAAGAAGTAGCAAAGTCCAGCCCCACTGCTTTCTAGCTCAACCCTATCATTCCTTTAAACAAACCTATATTTAACAGCCCTTTCATCTTTTCACTAACTCCAATCTTATTACTGACTATAAACTCCCACTACCGTAAACTTTCTGAAATCAGGGCCTATGTCTGCTTTTTCACCCCATTGTGTCCCTAGTCCTTAGTACAGATCTGGCACATTGCAATGACTATTTATTTGCTGAATAAAAAAATGGCAGTTGCAGTATAGTGTATTCCTATTGCTACAATAAAAAATTAGCATACATTTAGTGGACTGAAATATAAATCTATTACCTTCCAGTTCTGGGGATCATAAGCTTACAATAAACCTCACTAGTCTGAAATTAAGATACCAGTAGGGCTGCATTCCTTCTAGGAACTCTTAGGAACAATCTGTTTCCTTGCTTTTTCTAACTTTCTAGAAGATACCGACATTCCTTGGCTCTCTGGACATCCAGCAGCAGCATCACTTCAACTTCTGTTTCCATTCATAGACCTTTCTCTATAGCCAACCAGTGTCGTTCTTACAAGGACCACTGTGATCACAGTGGTCTACTCAGATGATGCAAGGTCATCTCTATATCTTTAATGTAGTCTCATTTGCAATTTGAGGAATATTCACAGATGCCAGAGATTAAGATATGGACATCTTTGGAATGTCCTTATTCAGCTTACTACATTTATCATTTTGTCTCTTTTTCTTTTAGCTTATCCAGTAAATAAATCAAAGTAACTGATTGAATTAACTGGAAAAATTAATCCTATTTACTAGACTGAAGCTGTCACTTCTCACCTCCATCCTTTAACAGTTTTGTAAAATAATTTGCCTTTGGGGCTGGGAATGTAGCTTAGTGGTAGTGTGTTTGGTAGTGGGGCTGGACAGGTGGCTCAATGGTAGAGTGCTTGCCTTGCATGCATGAAGCCCTGGATTCAATTCCTCAATACCACATAAATGGAAAAAGCTGGAAGTGGCACTGTGGCTCAAGTGGTAGAGTGCTAGCTACCCTTAAGCAAAAGAAACTCAAGGACATTGTCCAAGCCCTGATTTCAAGCCCTAGTACTTGCAAAAAAAAAAGCATTTTCTTTGGTTTAGACAATAAAGTTATATTAACAGTGGTTAAAAATATATATATATAATACGTGAACTTAACCAGACTTTATTTTTCTTTCAACAAAAATTCCTTGCTGATCAGTATGTTCTACTTCTAAAATTGAGATGAGGACAGTAGAAAAATCAAACTAGATAATATTATTTGAGGCGTGTTTTTATTGTAACTACAATTTTCATTTTCCTGTGTGACTCAAACAGAACCTAGAAACATTTCTAAGACAGCTATAAAAATAAATATATAGCACATTTTCTTTTCTTTTCTTTTTTCTTTTTTTGGTCAGTCATGGGGATTGAACTTTGGGCCTGGGCGCTGTCCCTCAGCTCTTCAGCTCAAGGCTAGCACTCTACCACTCGAGCCACAGTGCCACTTCCAGATTTTTCTGCTTATGTGGCGCTGAGGAATCAAACCTAGGGCTTCATGCATGGGAGGCAAGCACTCTACCACTGAGCCACCTGTCCAGCCCCATAGCACACTTTCTTTAGCCACTCATCAGTAAGTGGGTACCTGGGCTGATTCCATGATTTGGCTACTGTGAATATGTTTCTATAAAGATGAGGGTTCAGATAGCTCAATGGTAGCAGAGTACTATCCAGGCCAAAAAAAAGAAGCAAATGATGTTATTTGCAGGCTACAGCATAGAACTAGAGATCATCATGTTAAATGAAGCCAGACAGAAAATGGCAAAAAATCACATGTTCTCTCTTTCATATGCAGATATAACCCTTAAAAAGGTGAATGACAGGGGCTGGGAATGTGGCTTGGTGGTAGAGTGATTGCCTAGCATGCATGAAGCCTTGGGTTCCATTCCTCAGTACCACATAAACAGAAAAAGCTGGAAGTGGCGCTGTGGCTCAAGTGGTAGAATGCTAGCTTTGAGCAAAAGCAGCTAAGGGACAGTGCCCAGACCCTGAATTCAAGCCCCAAAACTGGCAAAAAAAAAAAAAAGTGCATGAGAAACTAGGTACTGGTGACTCACACCTATAATCCTAGCTACTCAGGAGGCTGAAATATGAGGATCCAGGTTTAAAACCAGCCTGGGCAGGAAAATCTGTGAGATTTTTATCTCCAAGCCTGTGGCTCAAGTAGCAGTATTCTAGCTTTGAGCACAAAGTGGCTCAGAGATAGCTCCTAAGTCCTAAATTTAAGCCCCAGGACCAGCAAAAAGAAAAAAAAATAGTGAATGAGAGGAATATAAAACAGGGACTACTGGGCTGGGAAGGTGGCTCAGTGGTAGAGCGCTTGCCTTGCATGCCTAAGGCCCTGAGTTCAATTCCTCAGCACCACATAAGCAAAAAGAAAAAAGCCGGAAGTGGCTCTGTGGCTCAAGTGGTAGAGCGCTAGCCTTGAGCTGAAGAGCTGAGGGACAGCGCCCAGGCCCAGAGTTCAGGCCCCACGACCAGACCCAAAAAAATAAAAAAAAACAGGGACTACTGGTGGTAGGAACCAGCAAGAGGAGAGAGGGTGAAGGTGAGACTAAATATCGTCAAAGTACTTTATACACATGAATGAAAATAGGATAACGAAATTTGTTTAAAACTTTTAAAGAAGAGGATAAGGAGCTGAACGCTGGTGGCTCATGCCTGTAATCCTAGCTACTCAGGAGGCTGAGATCTGAGGATCGTGGTTCAAAGCCAGCCCAGGCAGGAGAGACTGTGAGACTCCTATCTCCAATAAACCACTAGAAAACTGGAAGTGGTGCTATGGCTCAAGTGATTGAGCACTAACCTTGAGCTGAAGAGTGCAGGGACAGCACCCAGGCCCAGAGTTCAAGCCCCACGACCAACCAAAAAGGAGAAGGATGAGAAAAAGTAACAAGGTGAATTTTATCAAAGTAGTCTGTATTTTCCATGTATGAAAATCTATAATGAAACACACTTGTATAATTAATATACTCATAAAATTAAAAACTTATTTATTAAACTAAAAAAGAAAACTTAATTAAAAATAAAGATTTTTAATTAAGCCAGGTGCTGGTGGCTCACACCTCTAATCCTAGCTACTCAGGAGGCTGAGATCTGAGGATGGAGCTTCAAAGTCAGCCTAGGCAGGAAAGCCCATGAGACTCTTATCTCCAATTAACCACCAGAAAACCCCAAGTGGCATTGTGGCTCAAGTGGTACAGTGCTCACCTTGAGCTGAAGAACTCAGGGCCAGTGCCCAAGCCCAAGAGTTCAAGCCCCATTACCGACAAAAAGAAAAGGTATCTAATTAAAAATCAACTGTTTTCATATTTGATATTAATTTCAAAATTAAATGTAAGCCTGATGTTTGAAAATATAATTGAGTCCAAAAGTTCAGGACTGTCCAAGGAAAGAAAAAGGGGAAAAAGGGGGAGTAGAAAAAGAAGAAAAGTAGGAAGAGAACAAAAAAAAAACAGAAGAGGAAAAGAAAAATTTTAAATATACCTTTCCTTAAAATGTTCTTAGATGTTAAATGAAAATAAAAATAAGGCAGGGGTAGAGGTGTGGCTCAAGTTGTAGAGCCAGACTTGAATGAAAAAGTTGATCAAGAATCCTGAGAGAGAAGAGAGAGAGAGAGAGAGAGAGAGATAGGAAAGAGAGAAGGGAGAGAAGAAAGGAGAGGGGAAAGAAGAGGCAGTGGCTCACTCTTGTAATTCTAGCTACTCAGGAGGCTGAGATCTGAGTATGGCGGTTCAAAGACAGTGGGGTAAAAAAGTCTGTGAGACTCTGATTGCATCTCCCATTAACTAGCAAAAAGCCAGTAGTGGAGGTGTAGCTCAAGTGGAAGAACAGCTAGCCTTGAGCTAAAAAGCCAAGAGAGAACAAACAGGCTGAATTCAAGCCCTAGATATGGAACAAAACAGGAGTGAGAAAGGCAATCATACTGAATATATTCCTATCTCACCCTAAAGTATTTAGTATAACAAACAGTGACATACACATTTACTGAAGGTTTCAAAATGAAATATTAACAAGAATTTGGGGAATACTAAGGCATAAGATAGTTTTCCAAAGAAAGCCATCATAGACTTTTCCTTTTATAACAAATGGGAGGAGGAAGACAGGCATGGTAGGACACACCTATAACACCAGTACTCAGGAAGTTGACATTGCCTGGCTACAAGTTCAATGCCAGTTTGATCTACGTAAATGAAAACCAAGGACTACGATATAACTCAGTGGTGGAGCACATGCCTAGCATGCATGAGGCCCTATTTTGAGCTCAGTGCTAGAAAACAAAATAAACAACAAAAAATAGGAACTAAAGGCATAGCTGAAGTGCTAGTGCCAATCCTGGGCAAAAAAAAGTCAAGTGAAAGTGTGAGAGGAGGCCCTGAGTTCAACCACCAGTACTGATACAAAATCAAAACAAAACAAAAAAACCAGAGAAGAGATGTTGAAAATGTAGCTCAGCGATAGAACTGATTGCCTACCATGTGCCCGGCCCAGAATTCGGTTCTAAGAACTATAAATAAAGCAAAAACAACAAAAACAAGAAAAACAACCAAAAAAAGCAGAAAACAACAGGGTTTTAAAAAGGTTGGTATAAACTCCTAAAGGAACATAATTTCTGAAAGGTGGAAGACGCACCCTTCATTTTTTAATCCAGGATACATTTTAATCCTCAGAAGGCCAGGTCAGCTAAAACTGGAATTTATTATAACCACGAAGATTATTTACCCACCTGCAATTCACACCAAGCAACCTCGACCCAAGTTTCAGTGTCCAGTCCTTTATACACTGTTTTAAATGCTCCTCTTCCCAGTTCTATGTCAAATTTCAGGAATCTGCCACTAGGAGAAGTCGCCACAGCTTTCATTTCTGCTTCTTCTTCCATTTCCTTTTCACTTTTCTCCTTGAAGCATTCTTTTGAGGATTCTGAGGTTGCCTTTGAACACTGTTCATATTTCATTTCTTGTCCACCTCTTAGTACATTTGTAGGAAGTTTTTCTACTCTTGGAATATTTGTTGCAGCCTTTATTCTCTCATCTTTGGGGGAAGATTCAGGAACTTTCTCATCTTCAGTCATCTCAACACTCTTTCGGAAAAATCTCTTTTTTTCTATGGTTTCCCCAGGAGCAGAGATGGTATTGTTTTTATCCTTTAATCTATCTTCTACTGTCAAAGTTGTAGCAACCTGGGGAACTCTGTTTTCAAAGGAAACTCCATCAGGTTTCTCAGAATCTTCTGTGCTGGCTGGCTCCCCTGAATCAGTGGCCATTGTAAGAAAAGTTGGCACTAAATTTTTCTGGTTCCACTCTTCAGTATATTTACATCTCAGGTATTAGAATAATCAGAATGAACTTCCTTCTATGTGGTCATATATTTCCATAGCAACCTGAAGGGGGAAAAAGGATATTTTAAAAACTGTCCCACAAAGGAAATCATTAAGGAGAAAACAAGTCACCTGAGTTTTAATCCCTCTTTTCTTAATAAGTACTTTACTCCTTTTTTTCTGTCCAACCTTAGCAACTGGCAGACTCCAGGGACTGTGTTTTATCTTATTTACCTCTGAGCCCAGGATGCCTAGCAAACCACTTAGTCCACAGCTAAGCACATTTTCACATTACAGGAATATAGGTTAGGAACCTGGTTGTCAGTTCTATCAATACATTAAACTTAAAACAAAGGCACAAAGCCTGAGTTCAATCTAGGTGATTCTTGTTTGAAATTCTAGAATTCATCTAATAGTAGATCTCTCATTGTGGAATAATATACAGAACATTAAAGCTTACCAATTTAATCATTTTTATGTGTAATAGCTTCATGGCATTAATACATTCTCAGAGTTGTGTTATCATAACTTCTACCCATCCCCATATTTTTCATTATGCCAAGCCAAAACTGTACTTGTTATATGAAAATTTCCTGTCCAGTCTGATGCTATGGTGTATACCTATAGTACCAGCTATGTGGGAAGCTGAAGGCAGGAGCATCACGTGAGCCCAAGAGGTTGAGGTGAGCCTCAGCAACATGACTAGACTCCCATCTCTAAAAAGAGAAGAAAAGTAGTTTTTAGGATGGTTGGGGTATAGATAAATGGCACAGTGTGCATGTTAAGCATGCCAAGGGAGGCTCTGGATTCATCCCCAGGACCACTAAAAAACAACAACAAAAACTTATCCAAAATCACCCCTGGAAAGCTCCATTCCACTTTCTATCTGTCTGAATTTACTTACTGTAGTAAATTCATGTAAAGTGGAACCACACAACATTTTTCCTATTGTGTCTGGCTTATTTCATTTGGCATAATGCTTTTGAGAGTTATCCTGTGACAGCATTGCTAGAACCCCTTTCTTTTTTCCTTGGCAATATTGAGGTTTGAACTCAGGGCCTTGAACTTGCTAGGCAGGAACTCCACCACTTAAGTCACACACTCAGCCTTTTTATACTTTAGGTATGATTTTACTTGAAGCAACCTCAGATTGCAATCCTTTTACCTATAGCCTCCCCCATTGTTGGGATCACAGGCCTATACCACTATGCCTAGCTTACCAAGATGAGATTTCATTGACTTTTTGCCCACCCTGGCTTTAAACTTCAAAATAGACCAATGTCTGCCTCCTCAGGCGCTAGTATTAAAGGAGCAAGCCATACTCTACAGTCTTGGGATTTCATGAAAGTGTGGACAATATCCTACTGTATATATACACATCACATTTCATTTATTCATTTATCAATAGATTGAGTTGTTCTCACCATTTTACTATTGTTAATAATGCCACTATGTAGTAGTAGTTTTATATAATACAAATATGTATAGGCTTTCTTTCAGATTTTAACAAATCTATCAAATAGTAATATACTATACTAAAAGGACAGCAAAAAAGACTCAAAACCATGAACACTTTGAATCTAACAACATCACATATAGGAACTTGACTTAGAGAGTTGTCAAGTGATCTGCAGAATATATAAAAAATGCAAAACATTGAACAGAAAAAGAGCAAATAATCCAATCTTTGAATGGGAAAAGAATTGAACAGACATTTCTCCAAAAAAGTACAAATAACCAATAAATATATGACAAAAAGTTTAATATCCTTAGCTATCAGAAAAAAACACATGAACACTACATTAAAGTATCATCTCACCTCTATATAACTAATATAAGTTAATTAATGAATACTTAAAAACAAAGATGCTATCCCAGCCAGGCAATGTTGGCTCATGGCGTAATCCTACCTACTCAGGAGGCTAAGATCTGAGGATTGAAGTTCACAGCCAGCCCAGGCAGGAAAGTCCATGAGCACTATGGCTCAAGAGGTAGAGCTTGAGCTGAAGAGCTCAGGGTCAGTGCCCAGGCCCAGAGTTCAAGCCCCATGACTGACAAAAAAAAAGATGCTATCTCACTCAGTCAGAATGACTATCATCAAGAAAACAAACAACAATGAATGTTGGTAAAGGTGGGGAACTTACACACTGTTGGTGGGAATGTAAATTAATTTAGTCACTATGAAAATCAGCACAGACCTTTCTTAAAGAATTAAAAATAGGGGAGGTGGGGGAGGGAAGGGATAGTAGGAGAAAAACAAAGGAGGGGGTAACAATTCTCAATAAAAAATATACTTATTACCTTCCTCATGTAACTATAACCTCTCTGTACAGCATCTTTACAATAGAAAAAAATAATTAAAAATAGGCTGGTGCAAGTGACTCATTCCTGTAATCCTAATTACTCAGGAGGCTGAGATCTGAGGATCAAGGTTCAAAGCCAACCGGGCAGAAAAGTCTGTGAGACCCTTATCTCCAATTAACCACCAGAAAACCAGAAGTGGAACAGTGGCTCAAAATGGTATAGCACTAGCCTTGATCAAAAGAGCTCAGGGACAGCACCCAGGTCCTGAGTTCAAGCCCCATCACAGATAAAAAAAATTAAAAATAGAGTTCCGGAGGCATAGGCATGTAAGTAGAATCACACAATATTTGTGTGATTCAGGGCAGAATAGTGAAGTCCTGAGTTCAAGCCCCAGTACCAATAAAAAAAAATGAAAATTTGAACTACCATGTGATTCAGCCATACTGCCCCCAGGGTATATACTTAAAAGAATCAAAGTCAATTTAGTCAATACTGGGCATTTTGGAACACTCTAGTACTCAGGAGGAGGAGGGAAATGATTCCAAGTTTGAGGGAAACCTGGGCTATGTACACAGCAAGATCTTGTTCCTAAAAGCTCAAACATCCTGGTGCTTACCATTGGCTGTGTTCTTATATTGTACAGAATGAGGCAGCAGAGTAACCTACCCTATATATACCTCAGACAATAATTTGTACCTGGTATTATAAATGGAGAGACATGGAGAGAATAAAAAAGAAAAATCAGCTGGGTGCTGGTGGCTCATGTTTGATATTCTAGCAACTCAGGAGGCTGAGATCTGAGGACCATGGTTAGAAGCTAACCTGAGCAGGAAAGTCCATGAGACTCTCAACTCCAATTAACTACCAAAAAGTCAGAAGTGAAGCTGTGGCTCCAGGGGTAGAGCAGCAACCTTGAGCAAAAAAGCTAAGGGACAGGCCTGAGTTCAAACCCTGGGAATGTCACCAAAAATCAATTAATTAATTAAATTTAAAAGAGGAGAAAAATAAAGCCCCCCCCAAAAAAAGCAAAAATCAAAAAAGAACTAAAAATGTCACCCAGTGGTTTAGATACATGCTAGCATGTAGAAGAATCCATACTTAAAACTCCATGTTTATAACTACATTATTCACAATAGCAAAGTTATGGAATCAAGCTAGGTGCCAATTAAAAAATGTGAAATGTGGTATGCACACACACACACACAGAATTTTACTCTACTATAAAGAATGAAATTATGTCATTTACTGGAAAATGGAACTGGAGATCATGTTAAGCTAAATCACTCAATTTCACAAAGTATCACACGTGTTCTCTCATATGTGGAAATTATGGGGGTAACATGAAAATAAAAGAGGGACTATTAGGTGGGCTGGGAAGGTGGCTCAGTGGTAGAGCGCTTGCCTTGTATGCATGAGGCCCTGGGTTCGGTTCCTCAGCACCACATAAGCAAAAAAGACAAAAGCCGTAAGTGGCGCTGTGGCTCAAGTTGTAGAGTGCTAGCCTTGAGCTGAAGTGCCGAGGGCCAGCGCAACGCCCAGGCCCAGAGTTTAGGCCCCACGACCAGACCCAAGAAAAAAAAAAGAGGGACTATTAGGGATGTAGGAGAAAAGGGGGAGAAGAAGAATAAGAAGAGACAACACGCAGGTGGATATGATTAAAGTGTATCATATGCATTATGCAAATGTCAAAGTGAATCGCATAGCTTTGTACAACTAATTAAAAGAAATTAGTCATAGTCTGGAGACCCAGCTCACTGAAAATACACATGCCTACTATGTGCAAGACCCTGAGATCAATCCCTAACATACCAAAGATCTAACCACACAGATGTGCATTTTAGCACTTATAATTTGGAAAAACACAAATTAAACATAAGCCTAATACGGGTTTAAGTAAACATCTCAAAATGCAGTATAATACAGCATTAAAAATAACATTGTAGCGCTCGCCTTGAGCTGAAGAGCACAAGGACAGGGCCCAAGCCCAGAGTTCAAGCCCCAGGACAAAAAAATAAATAAATAAATAACATTGTATCCAGGCTGTGGTGGCATATTCCTATATTTCTAGCTACTCAAAAAGGCTGAAGTCTGAGGACTGAGGTTCAAAGTCAGCCAAATCTGAGTGACTATTAGTTCCAATTAATCAGCAAAAAGCTGGAAGAAGTGTGGCTAAAGTAGCAGAGTGGAAAAGCCAAGCAAGAATGTGAGGCCCTGACTTCAAGTCCCAGTATCAACACAAAAAATAAAAATAAATTTAAAAAAAAAGCCAGGTGTCAGTAACTCACGCCTGTAATCCTAGCTACTCAGGAGGCTGAGATCTGAGGATTGAGGTTCAAAGCCAGACCAGGCAGGAAAGTCCGTGAGACTCTTTTTTTTTTTTTTTGGTCGGTCATGGGGCTTGAACTCTGGGCCTGGGCGCTGTCCCTGCGCTCTTCAGCTCAAGGCAAGCACTCTACCACTTGAGCCACAGCACCACTTCTGGATTTCTAGTGGTTTATTGGGGATAATAGTCTCATGGACTTTGCTGCCTGGGCTGGCTTTGAACCATGATCCTCAGATCTCAGCCTCCTGAGTAGCTAGGTTTACAGGTGTGAGCCACTGGCAGCCGTTTCTTGAGACTCTTATCTCCAATAAACCACTAG